ATTTTAGAGAGTGAGTTGGGGAGAGGGGCAGAGGGAGAGGAAGAATGTTAAGGTTCTGCACTCTCAGTGCAGAGCTGGAAGCAGAGCTTGCTTGATCCCATGACCCTGAGATGGTGACCTGATCTGAAATCCAAGAGCTGGACACTCAACCAACTGAGCCACCCAGGCGCCCCATCTAAACTTCATTTTTTTAATGTAGAAAATAGTTAAGATAACTCCACAGAGATATTTTTAGAATTGATTTATTATATGATTCCATTTATATAAAAGTCCACAATAGGTAAATCCAGAAAGTAGGTTAGTGATTGCCTAGGGCTATGGGGAGGGTGCAGAGGGAATGACTGCTAATGGGGAGGGCGTGTCTTTTCAGAGTGATAAAAATGGTCTACACTTAGATTGTGGTGATAATTGCAGTTTTGTGAATTTGCCAAAACTATGTACACTTTAAATGGATGGATTTTATGGTATTATTATGGAGTTATATCAAAAAGATGTTTAAAAACTTAAAAGAGCTAATTAATGCATATAAGGTGTTTACCCTGGTGAGTAGCACATAGAGAGTAAACAACGAGTATTTATTCATTTGTATCCACAATTATGGTCATATTAGAAAGAGCTTTGAGGGGGCTCCTGGGTGGCTTAGTCCATTGAGCATCCATCTTCGGCTCTGGTCATGATCTCTCAGTTCGTGGGTTCGAGCCCCGCGTCGAGCTCTGTTCTCACAGCTCAGAGTCTAGAGCCTGCTTCAGATTCTCTGTCTCCCTTTGTGCCCCTCCCCTGCTTGTGCTTTGTCCATCTCTCTCTCTCAAAAATAAATAAACATTAAAAAAATTTAGAAAGAGAAAGGGAAGGAGGCAAACTGTAAGAGACTCTTAAATACTGAGAACAAACTGAGGGTTGATGGGGGGTGGGGAGAGGGGACAGTGGGTGATAGGCATTGAGGAGGGCATCTGTTGGGATGAGCACTTGGTGTTGTATGGAAACCAATTTGACAATAAATTACATTTAAAAAAATTTTAGAAAGAAAGAGCTTTGAAATATATTAAATTTACCTACCAGACACCCACCCTAATGGTGTGGTCTGAGTTGTACTGACCTCTTGTGGCCAATGCTGTGTAGTCTGTTCCTCTTGCCCTATAGCTGCCAGGCCAGGTTGATGAGCAGCCCTGTGGGATATCCATGCATTGAAGACAGAGAAGGGAAACTGACTGGGAGGCTCAAGTTACTGTCCCACCTCTTCTACCCACTCAGGCTTAGTCACATTCAGCTTGTTGGGCCATTTGAAGATTCATGTTTGTTTTGGTGTGGGGTAAGCCTCTGACTTCATTTTTTCCAAATGGATAGCCCTCTAACCTGACACCATTTATCGAATAGTCATTCTTTTTTCCACAGATGTAAATCAGGAGAAAAAAAATGAAAAACCACACATACACACATATAATAAATTATGTAAATAATTTCTTAGAGCCCCTGCAGACTGCAAATATTTCATGGTTCCTTTCCACAATCCTGAACTTCCCATCATGCTCATTTATTTAGAGAAAAATACTGAGCAGCTTCTAAGAAAATTGTCAGGGTGACTTTGAGAAGCTAGTGTAGCGAGCTGCCATTAACCGTTACTGTCTTGACGTAGGTTCGTATTTCTCTATACCTAACTTGGGAGAATATAGCATGCCTCTGCAGGTGCAATTTGGTTAAAGATGAGGTAATAAATCGGCCTTCATTTAGTTCACAGGTTTGCCAGTGTTGAAAATAATATCTTTTAGTCAGATTAGATGAGGAGGAGGAGGAAGTGGAAGAGGAGAGTAAGTCCATCTGTTCATATTAAATAAAACTAAGAATAACAGTGATTCAGGATTTCAGGCTATATTATAAAGCTGTAGTCTTCAAGACAGTATGGTACTGGAACAAAAACAGACACATGGATCAATGGAATAGAATAGAAAACCCAGAAATGGACCCACAACCATATGGTCAACTAACCTTTGACAAAGCAGTAAAGAATATCCAGTGTAGAAAAGACAGTCTCTTCAACAAATGTTGTTGGGAAAACTGGATTGCAACATGCAGAAGAATGAAACTGGACCTCTTTCTTACACCATATACAAAAATAAATTCAAAATGGATACAGAACCTAAATGTGAGGAAACCATCCAAATCCTAGAGGAGAACACAGGCAGCTATAGCAGCTTGGCTATAGCAACTTCTTACTAGAAGGGAAACAAAAGCAGACGTGAACTATTGGGGCTTTATCAAGATAGAAAGCTTCTGCAAAGTGAAAGAAACAATCACCAAAACTAAAAGGCAGCCTACAGAATGGGAGAAGATATGTGCAAAGGACATATCTGATAAAGGGTTAGTATCTAAAATCTATGAAGAGCTCAGCAAACTCAACACCCAACAAACACATAATCCAGTTAAGACATGGGCAGAAGATAATGAATAAAAACTTTTCCAAAGAAGACATCCAGATGGCTAACAGACACATGAAAAGATACTCAACATCGCTTATCATCAGGGAAATACAAGTCAAAACCACGATGAGGTACCACCTCACACCTATCAGAACTGCTAAAATTAACAACACAAGAAACAACAGGTGTTGGTGAGGATGTGAAGAAAGGGTAATCTGCTGTTGGTGGGAATGCAAACTGGTGCAGTCACTCTGGAGAACAGTATGGAGGTTCCTCAAAAAACTAAAAATAGAGCTACCCTAGGACCCAGCAATTGTACAACTAGGTATTTACCCAAAGGATACAAAATTACAGATTTAAAGGGGTCCATGCACCCCGATGTTTATAACAGCATTATCAACAATAGCCAAGCTATGGAGAAACCCCAGATGTCCATCAACTGACGACTGGATAAAGAAGATGTGGCATATATATATAATGGAATATTACTCAGCCATTAGAAGGAGTGAAATCTTGCCATTTGCAACAACATGGATGAAGCTAGGGTGTATTATGCTAAGTGATATAAGTCAGTCAGAGAAAGACAAATATCATAGGATTTCACTAGTGGAATTTAAGAAACAAAACAGGTGAACATATGGGAGGGGGGAAAAAAGAAAGGGAAACAAACTGTGAGGGCTCTTAATGATAGAGAACAAAGTGAGGGTTGATGGAGGGAGGTGGGTGGGGGATGGGCTGGATGGGTGATGGGTATCAAGGAGGTCAGTTGTGATGAGCACTGGATGTTGCCTGTAATTGATGAATCACTGACTTCTCCTGAAATCAATATTGCACTGTTAACTAGCAAGAATTTAAATAAAATTTTAAAAAGAAAGATTAAGTTTTAAAAACTAAGAGTAACAGTTGCTTATCAATGAGAAAAGGTCACTCTTCAACTTTACTCTCTCCCTTAGCCAATCTAGGAAGTTGGCTAAATGGGTAGAGAATATTGAATTCTCTTTGCTAATTTAGTTAGAATTACTGTTGAATAAACCATTTAGATTAAATAGAAAATCCAGGGCAGGCATGGGAGGTAGTGTTGGTCTTCAAATTAGAGAAAGCCTTCAGTTAAGTGGTAATAAATGAAATGGATTTTACTTTTTGTGAATTATACTTTTGTGGAAGTCATTAGCTCTTTTCATTATGAAAGGCAAGAGTATAAATTGCAGAGCTTTCTTCTTTTACCATTTTAATGAAGACTCAACTTTGAAGGCTCTGTTCTTGAGGTGTAGTACTGATAACAGTTTAAAGAAAAAGCAACCCTGGCAAGGTACACAGATCAAAAAACACTACTTCAGGGTAGAATGGTACCAGTTAATAAAAAAATTTTTTAAAAGTTAATTCCCTTTTAATTTACTCTCGTGGTTTTAAGAAAAATGCTAGGGGATATCATAATTGAGAGTTATTTTTGTCCTCCCTTGGCAAGGACACATGCCTTTTCAACTTGATAATGATTCCCTTGTTTGGCTCAACTATGTGGTTTGCATCTTGTACTCAGAATGTAATTATGTCAAGAGGATTCTAATGAGAAAAAAAAAAATGGTCTCAGAGCGAATAGCAAATCCAGCATGCATCGTGCACACTTCATTCACAGCTCTGTTTTTCCCCCTAAGGATCCAAGCCATCCAAGCCGTGCTCAGAAGCCTGTTGACAATAGTGCCCCTCATGCTGTTGTTCTTCATGATTTCCCAGCAGGTAAGCACATAAATAATAAAGTGGTAGAGCTCAGGATCCCTGAGCAGATATCTTCCCTGAGTTAACCTCTCGAGGACATCTTCATTTTCTGTGCCAAAAAAGATTGGTCATTTTACCACTCACCATGCCTTCCAGAAGGGTCATTAATACCCAACTGTTCCAGAGAGCTTAGCTGCATTCCCTTGCCTTTAAAACTCCCTGTGAGAGAGAGAATGAGGGGAGACAGAAAGGGCTGGGGGTGGAGGGATTCCCTTGCAATGAGCAAAAAGTGAATTGCCTACCAGTTGCAAACTTTTAACTCTTTAAAAACTATGCATATTGCACCCCAAAAAATGCATACCAGTTAACAATTAAAATGAAATTCTTTTTTTTGTAATGTTTATTTTTGAGAGTGAGAGCACAAGCTGGGGAGGGGCAGAGAGAGGGGACAGAGGATCCCAAGCTCCCTGTTGATAGCAGGAAGCCCAATGTGATGCAGGGTTCAAACTCCCGAACAATGAGATCATGACCTGAGCCAAAGTCGGATGCTTAACGTACTGAGCCACCCAGGTGCCCCATAATGAAATTAGTTCTAATTTAATGAGGGGAATAATTTTCTCCTAAGAGTTGCAAAACCTACACACAGAACTTAGCTATTACTTATGTGATGAAAATACACATTTTTTGTAATCAATTTTTAAACACCTTTTATATTCAAGGCTAAAATAAGCTCCTATTTTTTTAGGTTTATTTATTTATTTTGAGGAGGGGGAGGGGCAGAGAGAGAGAGGAAGAGAGAGAATCCCCAGTAGGCTCCACACTTAGTGCAGAGCCCAACATGGGGCTCAATTCCATGACCCTGGGATCATGCATGACCTGAGCTGAGTCAGATGCTCAACCAATCGAGCCACCCAGGTGCCACTACAAATAAACTCATGATTTATTAAAACTTCTTATAATCTACTTGGTAGACTGATTTTTATTTCAGTGTGAGTAGATTTACTTGCTAAGGAACTATACTAGTCCCTTAGTTAATATTTTAGATTGAAATGATTTTTAAGCATGATTGAAAATAATAATATTCTACATGTCTATAAAATATTTCATTGCTCAAGATGTATTTAGCAAAGGGTTTATATTAACCAGGTAGGAACCATTGACCAACAAAATAGTTTTTTTTAACCATCTCCCATCAATCAGTGCATGGTAAATACATCTAATTTGGCCTTTAAAAAGGAAGCTTATAATAACAATATCCTCCCAAAAAAGAATATGTTTTTTAAGTCAATTTTATTAGTATAATCTGTTCTTAAAATCAATAGAATGTACTGCCTCAGTGGACAGAACTGAAAGCTACTTTGTGCGCTGCTTTAATCAAATCTGCAACCAAGAGAATTCATCACACATAATTATAATTTTATGTTACAGAGCAAGTTGATGATTTGCACCTCACTTCTGGAGAAATTGTTTATCTTCTGGAAAAAATAGACACAGATTGGTATAGAGGGAAATGTAGAAACCAGACTGGTATATTTCCTGCCAACTACGTCAAAGTAATTGTAAGTGGGTAGTGCTTGTTTAAATTGGTCATATATTTGGTGGGTTCTGTGTGACTTGCAGTTTGGAAAAAACCAGAAGCCTAGATAGCCTAGATTCTTTTTTTTTTTTTTTTTTTAAGTTTATTTATTTATTTTTGAGGTGGTTAGGGGCAAAGACAGAGGGAGAGAGAGAGATTCCAAGCAGGCTTCACAAAGTCAGCACAGAGCCTATTGCGGGGCTGTAACCCACGAACCATGAGATGATGACTTGAGCCAAAATCAAGAGTTGGGCGCTGAACTGACCGAGCCACCCAGGCACCCCAAAGCCTAGATTCTTATATTCTAATTCTCTGTTTTCCATTGATCCCTTTGGTATTTGGAAAATTTTTAAAAGAAAATTTTTGTTCAGCTAGGCAATGATTAATTTTATTATATTATATGGAATATTAAAACTTAATGCCTAAATGCTCTCGGAAATCTAAGGTGAAAAATGCAGGTCAACTAGTGAACCAACTTGGAGGGTGGATAAGCACTAAAGGATATATATTAATTCTTTGAAACATTTAGTAAACAATAATTAAATGTTACTGGATAGTCCCGAAGGAATGTCCCCTGAGATTATGGTGCCAAGTTTTCTTTGAGGTAGATTTCACTTTCGGTTTCTTTCATCCTTTCCATTCCCATTTATTTCCATTTAAAAAAAATAGATTCGGGAATACTAAAGTACTTTTATTGGGGGTAGTGGTCCATTAATTATGTTTCATATAATAATTTCAAATCTGATTGGGAAAAATTATATTAAGTATCAGAATTTTTACACCCTCACAGCCTACAGTATGTGAGCCCATATTATAGAGCCCTAAGTATAAGCCCAGGTGGCTGTGAACTATGGAGATAAAATCAGAATGCCACTTGAACATTTATATCAATAGGAAGAGTATGACTCAGTCTCTGATATAACTTATTGATACTGGAAAATATCAATAAAGCTAGCTTATATCATTAAGCTTTAACAGCTTATTTAAGTGGGAAAAAGCCAATGACTTTTCATTACAGCAGAAACTTAGGAAACAAATATAACAGAAAACCTGTATTTTTTCAAATATAAATGAGCTTGAGTCTCTTGAATTATAAAATGTGGGTCTTAAAAATTGTCTAGTGTATATATGCCCTGATTCTTTGGACAATCTAACCACATTCTCTAAATTAATATTAAGAATAATGTTAGTTTTAGCACTCTTTCTCATTTTTCTTCTGCCCAATGTAGCAGTACTTTAAAAAGCACAATTACCACACTGAAATCAATCACACTGAATCTGCCACATTATTGGTATAAGTGTTATTTCTAAACCTACAGGTTTAAAAAATTGTTTTAAAACTTTTAGAATTTATCAGGAAGGGTGCTGATTTATTTAATATAGACCTCTAAACCTTAAGTAGTTTTCAGACTTAGTGCATTATGGTCAATATTTTATTACAACCCAGCTCTACCAAGCCCTGTAAATAAAGTATTCTCTAAAGTGCTTGCCACTTAATTAGATGCTCACTGAGTACTAATTCCTTTCTTCCTTCCCTATTCACACTGAAGGAAAATAAAATGTTCTAGAGTTATGAAAATAGAAGAAATCCACAAGTTTGATTAAAATGTTTTTGGGGGGTCAGAAAAGTATTGCAGAATTCTGCCAACACTTGGAATACGTGTGGTAGTGCGTGAATGCTTTCTGCCTAGTTTCTATCTTAAGTCGTCCTCATCTGAAGTTTTCAACTTACAGAATGTGGGAGAGAGAAAACTCAGTCCAGGGTAGGATGATATTAATGTGCTTATTCTATTCTAATGTGCAAATTGTTGCCTTGACTTTGTCTTTACAGATTGATGTTCCCGAAGGAGGAAAAGGGAAAAGAGAATCCGTGTCATCTCATTGTGTTAAGTAAGTTTTATTTGTGTCCTTTTGCACCAAATGCAAAGGAGGCAAGCATTTATATCCTAAAGAATTACCAAACTGAAAACACTTCAGATGTGTGATTATTCACATTCTCAGTGTGTTTTTGTAATTATGAGGAAAACTTTGCCTTAGTGGGGGGCACCAGGCTGGCTCAGCTGGTAGAGCATGTGACTCTTGATCCTCGGGGTTGTTAAGTTTGAGCCCCATGTTGGGTGTAAAGATTGCTTAAAAGTGAAATCTGTTTTTAAAATAAATGAATAAAAATAAAAAGCCTTAGTGGATTAAAATTCTGATGAAAATGCGACATGTTGGAAGAAGCTGGCATAAACAATACTCTGTCATACAGGACATATAGACACACACACAGAGCCACAGACTGTCTATCCTAGAACTTCCCACAGCCTGGCCTGAGCTTGAGCAGAGACAGTTTCGTTATCCAGAGCATTTTGCTTTGGCCTTCTGGTGTTTATCTACCAACATATTTTTAGAAGGTTCAGATATTTTTGCCACAGAAAATATTTTAATCTTATAGAAATAGGAACCCTATAAAACTTGCTAGACATTTTGTATTGTTTTGTTTTTTAGAGGAACTAGAAGAAAGTAAAGGAAGAGTTAAGTTGGAGAGGTCTTCCTTTATGTCTGAAAACCTTTCCATAAATTTATATACCCTTTTATGCACCACTGTAACTCCTTTGTGATTTAAAACACTGCCACAATGCAACTTTATATTCCAGTTAAATGAGCAAATTAGTGGAATTCACTACCTGCTGAAGACTGTAAACCTGTCTTTGAATAGGTCAGACATAAGGAGATGCTCCCCGAGGACTCCAGAAAATAAATGCAAAGGTTACCACAAATAAGAAAACTTCTGATGCCACTGTAGTTGAATTCTACTTCGAGTTCAATTTTTCTCCTATTTTTAAGCAGTGTTTACTGTGTCAGCAGGTTGAATTTAAAATGGGCCTTCACAGCTATTGATCCATTGACCTGACTTAAATCAGACTTTGATTGGTGCCAGTACCAACCTTTTCTCTTCAGGCAATTGCATCTCTTTAGACTGTTGCTATTGAAACTTCCCTTTCTAAAGCCTTAAATCGAAGGTTTGGTATTAAATCATGCCTTCGGGGATATAATTTTATCTCTACTTTTATCTTATTTTCAGTCACAATTGCAGATCATTAAAGGATTGTTCTCATAATCAGAAGTGAAGCCTTTTTAAAGGTGATACGGAAAGCATCTGTAAAACAACAGTGTTAGATATAAAATTGTTATTTGCCCGGTTTCTGTTTTCTTCTAACCTTCCAGTTGGGAAGGCCATTTCTCTCTATAGACAACTCACTGATGATTCAGCATATATTGAGGATACTCTGCCCAGCTTCTGCCCATTGCATTTGGCCACGGAATTTTCCTGTCTTGCCCCGAGATTCTCAGGGTTGGCAACTCGTGAACTCAGTGCAGTTAGGATTGAGAGGGTTCAGATTCAGCCGGCCTACATATACAAAGACATGTAATGGAGTAAAGGAGTAAAGGTGATCAAGAGATATACCAGTATAGACTGGCCACAGGGGTCTCCTTTGTAATTCTCATGTACTCTGTGACCTTGATGTTAACCTTTTTTTTTTTTTTTTTTTT